GTTACGGATAGCTGATATAAAATAATCTTTGGCTTCATATCACGGTTTTGTTAAAATTTTTACTAAAATAATGCGAAAAAAACAAATGATATCAAATCAAAGACATGTTAAACATAAAATAATTTAGTTAAAATATTCGAAATGACACTTATTATGTTTTACATAACGTAATTGTGATATCCAACGCATTACTTATGTTAGTTATTTTCTAATATTACCAATAAAACATCTGTTTCACAGAATATAAGTGTGATATGAAATAAAATACTTGTGTTATAATGTGAAATATTTTAGTTAATATGTAACTAAGTTAATATAAATGTACAAACTTTTCTTTCTGAAAAATTTTTAAGCTGTTTTCAGAAATTTAGGACATCTTTAAAATATTAAGTTTTAATGTTCTCTGGGATCATGCTGTAATAAAGAATTTTACTCACCAAAATTTTTATACTTTACCATGATTGTTGAAATTTCTTTCCAGGCATTATTTTTTAATTTGTTGTCTCTAAAATCTCGATTTTTCTTATCATACAAAAATTTTCTTTCTCTATACAGTTTAATTAGATAATCGTCGCCTGTTTTGTCTGGGACATAGATATTGGTATCAGTTGCATTTCCGTAATCTGTTTCCATAATAATTTCTTCCTTCTTGATATCTAACCATTCTTCATTCCGAATGTTATAGGAACTATACTGATGATCCATAATATTGATAATACAAAAATCCACGTTGAGATGGTTACTTGAAAGAAGAGGTTATATATATTATATATCATATTTAAAAAATATCTAAGTAACAAAAATGAACTACTATAACAAAGTTGTACTAAATAATTTATTTTATATCGATTTTGAAATATTGAATAATAACACATGATGTATTATTATTTCACTTACAAAATTTTCTTCTTAAAATGATTGTACTCGCTTACGTCTTATGTTACATTTTTGTTTGTACGTTGACTGAAGTTTAAAGTTATGTATGATTCATACAGTATGAGCCTAAGTTCACGGCCGGTACTTAACGTAACGTAACGCGCTACGAAAAAGCTTGTACGGTGGTCCTTAAGGCCATGACACACAGAAAAACGTAAACGGTAATGGCCATCACACACAAAATGACATAACTGCATATGCAATAGCATAAGACCGTCTCGACCAATGAGCATGCTATGTAAATCAATATGGCGCTTTTATGCTAGATGTTCATTGGTCGAGACGGTCTTATGGTATGCATATGCAGTTATGTCATTTTGTGTGTGATGGCCTTAAAGATTTGTTCTTTTCAGCTGCACTAGGCCTACACTAGTATGTATGTACATACAAGCCAGTACAGGCCAAAACTGCACGAGTTCTCATAAGTGCATCAATACGAGAAGGGATAAAAAGAACACGTTAGTGCAGTAACGAATATGGCCCATGACATGTGTAACGGTGCAGCTCGCAAGCTGCATCGTTACGGCTACGGACCGTCCATCGTCCGTAGTCCACCAAGGGCGCATCAAGCGCCGATAAAACTAAGGCACTATAAACGTGAGTATTCTACCGTCTGCTCTGGTCTCCGCCATTTCTGTTCCGTTCCCCCACTCTTTGCCCTCTCGCCTCTATCGCTGAGCTGATAAGTTTATGATGATTAGGTTATGGTTTCTAAGCTGCTCGAACTCTGTATTTGCGTGTATCCGACTGTAAACAAAAAAAAAGATAAATGTCTTGCTGCGTTGCGGTCAATTGTACCAATAGAACAGAAAACGGTGTTCGAGTATTTGCATTTCCTGTGGATGATATTCGTCGACAGCAATGGATACGTAATCTCCGCAGAGAATCTTGGACACCAACCAAATATTCGCGCCTCTGTGAAGTAAGTTTATTCTCTTAAATTTCCAATTTACGTAGCTTTTTCTGTTTGTTTAGGATCATGGATCGTTTTTTTAAGTGTAGTTTAGATTTGTCACC